GGCCAAACATGGCCTCTGATTCTTCAATTGTCTGCGTCTGCACTCTGCCGCGGTTTTGCCGCGATTGCGGTGAAACCACGGTGTTTCATCCTGTTCCGTTTAGAATTTGGAAAAACTCAAAATATGAAAGTTATAATCCTTTGAGTTATCTTTCCAACCATATATTATGAAGCCAAAATGAAGTTCTGAGTAAAAAGTTATGTGCNTAGTGTTTAAAATAGGGTTTTGGGCTAAAAATCCCGTGTTTTGCACTTTAGTCCCTGAAATTTCCGCCTCCTGCCACGGTTCTACCGTGGTCGCGGTCAAACCGCGGCCAAACATGGCCTCTGATTCTTCAATTGTCTGCGTCTGCACTCTGCCGCGGTTTTGCCGCGATTGCGGTGAAACCACGGTGTTTCATCCTGTTCCGTTTAGAATTTGGAAAAACTCAAAATATGAAAGTTATAATCCTTTGAGTTATCTTTCCAACCATATATTATGAAGCCAAAATGAAGTTCTGAGTAAAAAGTTATGTGCATTTTACTAGACAGTACGCAATATGCCTCATCGAGTCTTCATTTGTTCTCAACTATCAAATTTGACCCCCGAACACGATCCCGGCTTAATTCCTTGAGCTTTTACTCAGACTTCAAAGCTTCAAATCACTTAAATTCATTCCTTAACATCTATATAGCTCGGAATCACACCTACAAGGCATAAAACACATAATTAGTGCAAAACACTTGCGATTAAAGCGCAAACTCAACTAAAGTGCAGTAAATTAGAGTGTAATAATCAACTAAAACACGTAATTATAGCCTATCATCATTCGACAAAATACAATAAAACAAAAAACGATATATAACACAGAAAATCTTTGTGTTAGCATAAATTGGTTGATCCACTTAAATAAAAGATAAATCATAAGCAGTGACGAAAGTCAGGAAATTCAATAAGGGTGTTCAAAAATCCTTTGCCAATGGGCTATGCAAGGGTGTTCAAAGTCTATTTTTTAATCAATAACAAGTACTAATATTTTACCTTATACGTAGTATAATTTTTCGGCAAAGGATGTTCAGTTGACCACCCTTGCGCCAACGTAGCTTCGCCCCTGCCCATAAGACTAAACTTCAACATGATTTGTGTGATTAGAATCTCACTAACACAAAAAGGACAGCCCAGTGCCCTAAGTTCTCGTTATGCATGGGGTCTGGGAAAGGACCGGACCACAAAGGTGTATTGTACGCCTTACCTTGCATTTCTGCAAGAGGCTGTTTCCACGGCTTGAGCCCGTAACCTCCTGGTCACACGGTAGCAACTTTACCGGTTACGCAAGGCTCCCCCTTCTAGAATCTCACAATTTAACAAAAATAATCACAATTCATATGACTAGATTTTGAACTAAAATAATCTAGTGCATAGCGGGAGCTTATTGCATTATTTAGCATATGGCTAGATTTTTTAAACTAAAATAATCACAATTTAGATGACTAGATTTTAAACTAAAAAGAAATAAGGAAAAAAAATAGGAATACATGAAATGCCTCTACAGTTTTCATATAGGAAATATTATTCTAGTGTCTCAATGTATATGAATATAAAGAAAAGAAAATTGCTATAAGCTGCTACTACCTCCTAATAATCAACTGGCCTCAATTTGTTAAGGCAAGCAAATCAACAGAAGTAAATACAAAAGGATGAATCTTGCAAATCCAACAATCCTCTACTTCTCCTCTGCTATAGCAATATGACCAAACTTGTACCAATTCTCTAGTCTCAAAACTATATGAAACAATTGTATGTGGCATTACATGCAAATATAAGACCTGCAAATCTTTATTAAATGCACAAGGCCTAATTGAATATCCCATACTCAACCTTGTATCTTGATCATTAATCAAATCATTTAATCTTATAAAATGATTAAGCCTCCATAAATCAAAATTATTGTTGTTTCCTCTAAAACTCCATATGAAAAATCCACTTTTAACTGGATCGCAAAATTGTATTAGTCCTTCTGATTCCCATAAAAACTGAGAATAGACACCTTTTCTTGATTTTTTCCCACTATGATTTTTTGGCAAAGGAAATAATGTAAAGAACTCTCCTTTACAATCATATACTAACAAACACAAACTCCATATCCAATACAATCTTTCACCAGAAAAAACACTTGGACTATAGCATTGTCCTCTCAAGAATCCATCTTGTAAAAGAAGTTCAGAGTTCAATATTCTCAATTGGGATTCTCTCCAATTCCATAATTCTGATGAAAAAACCATGCAATTCATCATTTGAGCATCAAAATCAACTTCTTCCCAGAAAAAACATATAATTTGAAACTCATGATTCCAACCATCAAAAACAAGACTTGAACAAGCAGGCCTTAAAATATGATGAGAAAGAGGAAGTGTAACATATTGGTCAAGTACAGGGGAAGAAATATGATAATTCCAAAACTCATTGTTAAGAGATGCATATAAAAGAAGACCATTACAAGAATCAATCAAATAAGGAAAATTATGGGTAGAAGAAGAATGGAGAGTACAAAATTGGGCTAATTTTTTCTGGGGTTGATCATGTAATTTCAAAAAGATTGATTCTTGGGATGAATTGTGTTTGAGAAAAAGTATAAGGCCAGTAGAAGTTGTGGGAGGGTAAAAAATGCGGATATTTGTGATGGAATTTCGCCATGTTTTAGAGACAGTTTTTAATTGAACAAGAGATTTTAAGGGAATTTTAGAGAAAATTGATTCCACTACATGATATGATAAATTCCCCAATTCAATCATCTCTTGTTCTTGTGCTGTCGCTGATTCTTCTTCTGTCTCCATCGCCATCCCCATTATTATCCTCCCTCTGACCTCTTCTCTGTTTTTTGTTTGTTAAACCCTAGACTAAACCCTAAACCCTTAAATAGGAGCGATTTAGTGTAAAACGATTTAACTGTAAATTGTAATTAAGTCTGCAGTTAAACCCTAAATAAACCCTTAAAAAGGAGTGGTTTAGTGTAAAAATATTAACTGTAATTGTAATTAAGTACATGACTTTACTGGGCTCATGGTCGGTTACCGTCAAAGTAACAAATTTTTAATTTCTTTTTTCATACTCATATCATTCTTTATAATCTGTATTTAAATTAATGCCAAGTAATTTATACTTAGATAACTCCTAAACAGGTCATTAAGAATAGTAGATACTTGATTGTATACTTGGTGTGCAAGCAAATAAATAAATACTTGGTGTGCAAGCAAATAAATAAATACTATATAAATACTTGGTGAGCAAGCATTGAAATTCTATAGTCAGACGGGTTATGACCTATATTTTCTCACTTTATTGGTTGTTAGATAGTTAAGTATTTCTTTTTGCTATATAATTTGGGGTTAATCACTTAATTATATCCTTTAATTTCTCTTTCTTGATGACTACGTGGTCAAGTATTAAAGATAGTATTGAAGAATGAATGCAGGTAGAATAACAGGGGTAGTGAATAAACATTCTTACGAGGGGAGAAATTGATAAATGTAAAAGTAAATGTCCAAAGATTGAGATAGAAAAGTTAGAAGTTAGAGTAGAATTTTGAATGTCGTGATAATTTGAGGTAAGAACAAGAACATAGTTGGATCTCATATAATAAATGACATTATTTTCATGGCACATAGTATATTCATTTAAAGAAAAGGTTTCAGTTTAATTTAAAGTAAAACTGAATAATTGTAATATTATATATTTTAGCATCTCATATTCGTACGAACTAGACACGGATCTAGCTTTTTTATAAATTGGGTGCACAAGTAAAGAAAAGCAAAAAAAAAAAAAAAAAAAAAAAAAAAAAAAAAAAAAATATTAAGTGAGAATTGATCTCTGCTACTCTAGGCAAATAATTTAGTATTCAGTCAAGTGCATAACTTAATCTCATTACACAAAATACCTAGTTCGGTGAAGAAATCATAAGTTCATGTGCCCTATATATTGGGCTATAAATCAGCCCGTGGTAGGAATTGTTCAACCAAAAGATATAGATCTTGGTTCAACTAATTAAATTAATATAAATGAGGGTTAATCTTAGCTAAAATAATATCTTCAAGATAGAGTTCTTAAAAGTGCAATAAATACTACGTAGGTATATTTTGATAGCAGCGACATCATACAATCAATATTGAAGAAATCAAATCAACAGCTGGAAACAACTGCTAATACCCGTAGGCTGAGGAGCAAAAGGAGGAATCCGCCCGAGGAGGGGCTCACGTTTGATTAGCTAGTTGGTGAGGCAATAGCTTACCAAGGCGATGATCAGTAGCTGGTCCGAGAGGATGATCAGCCACACTGGGACTGAGACACGACCCGATAATGTAGCATTAAATAATGATGAATAACAATAAATTGTTATGNTGAATATATGTTTAATACCATTCCAATGTCTTTGTGTTGGCGAAGTACTAAATCTTGCCAATAAACTTACTGAGAAGGCTATATCTGGTCGGGAATTATTGGCAAGATACATTAATGCCCCAATTGCACTAAGATATGGT